AAAAACCTTCTAAGTGTCTCCAAATTAACTGATGATAATGATGTCTTAGTTGAATTTGGTCGTACTCATTGCAATGTTAAGTCTTTTCAGGGCAAAATAATCCTCCGAGGGGACAAAACTGATGGTCTTTATCGGCTGCCTTTCAACTCGAATAAAGTTGCACTCTCTGCTGTTCGTACTTCTCTTCATGGATGGCACAGAAGACTTGCACATCCTCATGAACCAGTATTAAGGCGTCTAGTTTCCAATTTTCATTTACCTGTTTCTTCAAATAAGTTACCCAATGTCTGTCACTCATGTCAATTGGGTAAGAGTCATAGGTTTCATTTGTCTACTTCGCATAAGTCGTCTTCTAACCCTTTTGAATTGGTGTATTCGGATGTATGGGATCCTTCCCCCGTTTTTTCATTGAATGGATCACGATATTTTTGTTTTGTTTATTGATGATTGTACTAAATTTATTTGGATCTATTTCTTGTCTCATAAATCTAAAGTCTTTGCCACTTTTTTGCAATTCAGAACCATGGTTAAAACTCAGTTCTCCTGTGATATCAAAAGCTTACAAACCAATTGGGGAGGGGAATATCGCAATGTCTCTGCTTTTCTAAACACACATGGTGTCATTCATCGAGCCACATGTCCTCACACTCATGAACAAAATGGAGCTGTTGAGAGACGAAATCGCATCATAGTCTAAAAAGGTCTTGCTTTATTAGCTCAATCATCCTTACCACAACTATTTTGGGAACATGCTTTTAAAACCTCCACTTACTTACATAATCGCACCATTACACCTCTTCTCAACTATGATTCTCCTTATCAACGATTATACAATAAAGTTCCTGATTATAATTTTCTCAAACTATTTGGCTATTTGTGTTATCCGTTTCTGCGTCCTTATAACAAACATAAAATCGATTTCAGATCTCTTCCTTGTCTGTTCATTGGGTATAGTGCAACTCACAAGGGTTACTTATGCTATCATGACCAATCCTCTCGCATATACATTGCACGTCATGTTGTATTTGATGAGGACAAATTCCCATCTGTTTCAGTGTCTGATACTCCTTCAACATCTGAGCCAACTTCCTCTTCAAACTCATCCACCATTCTTGAGTGTGCTAAACATATTCACTATTCACAATCGTCTCCATCAACACCTTTACCACAATCCGTACCCCCTACTCCTTCAATACAGCCTCAACATCATATTGTGTCATCATCATCAATTCCTTCTACTTCTGCCTCTGTCATTCCACCGCCAATACCTCCTCAAAATACTATCATCAATTCCAGATTGCAGCACACCACTCATGTTGTTTCGATGTTTCGACCAGCAGAAAATAATTAACACGCCATGGTCACACGTGCTAAAACAAATTCACTCAAACCAAAAGCTTTCACATCCCAAACTCTAGCTGATCCAACGTTTGAGCCTCGAACCTTCACTCAAGCCAATAAGAATTCTTGCTGGCAACTTGCGATGAAAGCAAAATACGATGCTCTCATGAAAAATAACACATGGTCACTTGTTTCTTTACCTTTTAATACTAATATTGTTGGTTGTAAGTGGATCTACAGGGTCAAAAGAAAGTCGGATGGCTCTATTGAACGACACAAAGCCCGGTTAGTAGCTCAAGGTTTTAGTCAAGAAGCAGACATTGATTATTTTGACACTTTTAGCCCTGTTATAAAACCTACTACCATACGTCTGGTTCTCTCTATTGCTTTGGCTCAAGGCTGGAATATCCGTCAACTTAACATAAATAATGCTTTTTTAAATGGTGATTTATCTGAAGTGGTATATATGCAACAGCCAAAGGGGTTTGAAGATCCAACAAAACCATCTCATGTTTGTAGATTACACAAAGCCCTATATGGACTAAAACAAGCCCCTAGGGCTTGGTTCACCAATTTAAAACAGTATCTTGTCTCAAATGGATTTCATGCATGTCAATCCGACACATCTTTGTTTGTTCATCACTCAAAATCCTCTACAGTTTATGTGCTGGTATATGTTGATGACCTCATTATTACCGGAACAAATAATGATCACCTTCAACAATTTATCAATCCTCTAAATCGGGTCTTCTCTCTTAAAGATCTTGGAAATCTACACTACTTTCTTGGCATTAAAATTCAGCAACAACCATCGGGTCTCACTATGTCTCAACAGGGCTATATTCAGGATGTCCTAGAAAGAAGCAAAATGTCCATGGCTGCACCCATTTCAACACCTGCTGATCCACAAACGCGACTTCAAAAACATGGTGATCCCTTCTCTTATCCTACCTTATATCGCCAAATTGTTGGCTCGTTGCAGTATGCTACTATCACTCGCCCTGATATTTCTTATTCAGTAAACCGTGTTTGCCAATTCAGGCACTCTCCAACAAATCACCACTGGCAGGCAGTGAAACGGATCCTAAGGTATCTTAAAGGCACCATAACTCAGTGCTTGCACTTCAAGAAAAATAAAGGTCACTCGTTACACGCGTATTCTGACTCAGGCTGAAACTCAGATTTGGATGATTCTCGATCGCAGTGGCGTAGCCAGGATTTTGTTTTAGGATAGGCCAAATAATTTATAAAATATGAACTAATAGAAAAATACATCATATGATAACAAAATTTGACAATGTATGCATTTTAAAGTAAATTGTTCATTTAAGTTGCACACGACGCTCTCTTACATTATTAAAATCATTTAAAATGGAATCTAAATTGATGATACTTGATTATCCATTTCTTGATTATCCATTTTTGTTGTGGCTTTCTCTTCGCCTCGTGGTAAAACATTACGCGTAAAAAACGAATCTAATCTTTTTTGCTTTGGCCCGGCCCATTGCTCAACGAATTCACTAAGCACAAAAAATTTTAATTACAAAAACACTCTTATATTTTTATACAATTACAAACTTACAATAACGCAAATAATTAATTCATAGTAATATGTAATAACCCAATTTATTAGAAATTTGTGATAAAAATATAAAATCTAGAATGAAAATAAAAACAATATTGAATTAATTGAGTAAGTATGATAACAGAAAAAAAAAATTAACTAATCTGAATGTTGGTGACGATTGATGAATAACAATTAATAAATTGAATAATAAATAGCGATGATCATCTTTAACTTTAAAAGAACTTCAAAAGTGCTTCTTGAATTTGATAAACATATATGTGTGCAACAGCGTGAGAATATGCAGGAGACAAGTAATTTCAATTAAATTTAGGGTGGGCCATTTACACTTAAAGCCCAATAGTTTTTTTTAATATATAATAAAACATATAAATATATTATATTTAAACAAATATGTGTGGGTGGGTCAAGGCCCACCCTTGACTCCACATGGCTTCGCCCCTGCTCGATCGCAATATGGCTTTGCCATCTTTCATGGGTCAAACTTGATTAGCTGGACCTCTCGCAAACAAAAAGTTGTAGCTAAATCAATCACCAAAGTAGAGTATAGATCCTTGGCCTATACTACAGCTGAATTACTTTGGATCAAACAACTATTATGTGACCTCCATGCGCCCATTTCAAATCCACCACTCTTACTATGTGACAATGTCGGTTCAATATTCATGAGCAAAAATCCAGTAATAAGTACCAGATCCAAACACATTGCACTTGATTTTCATTTTGTTCGGGAACAAGTCGAATCAAATCAACTCAAAATCTGCTACGTTTCTTCCATTGACCAGCTGGCAGATATATTCACCAAACCGTTAGGAAAGGGACGAGTTATGTTTCTTCGTTCCAAGCTGCAAGTACGTCCCGCACTTGAGCTTGCCGGAGGGTATTAGTCAAATAGTCAACATTGTCATTGTAAACGTGTATAATATAAACACAAACAGTAAGTCAAGAGTCTCCACTAGAATAGGAGTTTGAATAGGAGTTTATATCTCATATTTCTGTTGTATCTCTGTGTATAAATCCATCCTCCATAAATGAAATTGACATACAGTTCATTTGAATTTCCATGGATATCCACTGACATTAGGTTTCAATATCAAAACCTTCACCTTCAAACCTGCAATTGATTTCAAAATCTTATTTATTTTCATTTCTGTTTACTTCTATTTCATATTTCTTCGTGTCAACAAAAGAATGTAGTTGATTTTCTTTGTGGTATTCGGTCGTGAGTCTGGCAAGGATGTAACGAGAAAGTGCATGAGAAAAGTGGTGGTTACTGGTGGAGGGTGGCAGGGATGAAGTGGGGTTGAGGGAGGTATGGTGGCGAGCATGAAGACGAACTGAGATGGTTGGGTTAAGGATAGTTTTAATGGATTTTTATTTTTTTTATTTAATTTAAATTATAATATAAAAAATAAAAGCCAATAAAAAAGGGTAAAACAATAATTTTGGATCAAATTTGTAATAAAATGAAACGGACCAACTACACTAGAAAGTAAAACGACACAGATCATGCTTATCAAGCAAAACAGGTTAGGGACAATATATGCGAATTTTGGATTTCACAGGGACCATTTATGTACTTTTCTCTTAGTTATATTCTCATTGACACAATTATTACAAAAATTTCCATGTTCCATATAAGAAAAATGTATTCCACCCATATAAAGAAACGTACGGATTAAAATGGAAAGATATATGTACATATCATATTACAATATAGAGGTATATCAAAAGGACAAAAGGTAAATGAAAATAAACCAGTTACAAAGATCAATTCTAGTTTACATATGAAACATTATATATTAACTATTAAAACATAAAATATAATGATATATTAATATTTTAGATAAGTAATAATGACAGAAGGTAAAAACAAAAGAAAAGAAAAGAAAATTAGCAAAGTGTATGTTCTAAACTTGTAACTTAGGAAAGGTATAATTTAATTAGGAAAGCGTATGAATTTCCATTTCCATTCGTTGGGTCTCTATTTGTTCCACCATCTCATAGATTCTTATTGTTTTCTATCTTTCTTCCACCATTCATCCGCTCTTCCTCTCTCTTCTAACCAGTGAAAATGGCTGAAGCATTAGTCACTATTGCTGCTGAGGGGATATTGAAAAAGGTGTTGTCTATTGCTGCGGGTGAACTCGCCATTGCCTGGGGTTACGAAGAAAAGCTGACCAGCCTTCACAGAACATTAGACCTGATTCGTGCCAAGTTAACCGATGCAGAGCGAAAAAAGAAATCAGAGGTTGTGATGGTGTGGCTGAAGCAGCTAAAAGATGTAGTGGGTGAAGCTGATGATGTGTTGGATGAGGTTGATTACGAAATGCTGAGGCGTCAAATAAAGAAACCAGATCAGATGGCAAGAAAGGTAGTGTGCCTTCCAAGCTTGAAAAGGTTTTCATTTCGTTATAAAATAGGTCATAAAATCCAAAACATCAATGAAAAGTTGTTTAAGATCAATACAGAAGCAAACAGTTTAGGACTACAAAATGAACACCCTGCAGGCCCTGTTCTAGATCGTCTCTATTGGAGAGAGACTGTTCCAAATCAAGAAGAATTTATAATTGTTGGGAGGGATGATGATAAACTCCATATCATTGAACTTTTAACCCAATCAAGAAAAGAAGAAAAACTTAGCATTGTTCCCATTGTGGGAATGGGTGGTATTGGGAAGACCACTTTGGCTAAGTCGGTCTACAATGATAAAAAGATCGAGCAACATTTTGATGTTAAAGCATGGTTGTGTGTGTCGGTTAAGGTTGACATCAATACACTTCTTGCAAAGATCTACGAGTCTCTTGCCAAAAAGAAACCTAACTCGGACCTAAGGACCAATTTAATTGAAAGTCTTAAAGAGCAGTTGGCATCAAAAAGATATTTGCTCGTCTTGGATGACGTCTGGGTCCAAGAGAGGCCATACTGGGAAGAGTTTAGGAGTTGTATGCTAAATGTAAGCTCACAAAATGGAAGTGGCATTCTTGTCACTACACGGAAACTTGAAATCGGAACTCATGATATGATCAGGGATTCGTGTCCTTTAAAAGGTCTTTCTGATGATCATTGTTGGGACATCTTCAGAGAAAGAGCGTTTGTGGCAGGAACATCAGCGTCGCCGGAACTGGTGAAGATAGGCCGCGACATTGTAGAAAAGTGTGGTGGTTTACCATTGCTATTAAATGTAATAGGTGGCATGTTGGCGAATTACAATGACACGGAGAAGTGGTTGTACATAAAATATAGCAAGGTTTGGGATCTGGAAGAAGAAAGGGATAGAGTTCAAAAGAGTTTGGAACTGAGCTTTGATAATCTCCCCGATTCTATCGTCAAGCAATGCTTTGTGTATTGTTCCATCTTTAAGAAAGATACGGTCATGGAAAGGGAAGAACTGGTCCAACTTTGGATGGCTTTAGGGTTAGTTCAAGCGGATGAGGAAAGAAACAAGGAGATGGAGGATGTGGGGAATGACATTTTTCAAATTTTGGTCAGCAATTCGTTGTTCCAAGATGTTGAAAGGGATGAGTATGGTCACATCACTCGTTGTAGCATGCATGATCTGGTGCATGATCTCTCATTATCACTTTCAAAGCATGAAATCTTATGTTTGGAGGATACAACAAATGATGATATCGCATGTATCCCTCAGGTTAAACACCTCGCTTTTTACCAAAAACAGAACGAGGAATGGGAAGCCAATGTTTTTATGTTCATTGAAAGGAATACGGTGGCTAGAACTTTGCGTACATTGATCATTAAAGGTAAAGATGACAAAAAGTTTTCATTTTATCAAGTTTTTAACAAAGGTGAAGATGAGAAGAAATTTTCATTTCAACGATTTTTCATCAAAGGAGAAGTTGAGAAGATATTTTCATTTGAACGATTAAAGTGCATACAAATCCTACAACTCAAATATTGTAAAATACAGAAGTTAGACCATTCAATTGGAAGGTTGGTGCATCTCAGGTATCTGGATTTATCATATACGAATATCCGTGTTCTTCCTGAATCTATTGGTAAATTATACCATTTGCAAACTCTGAAGTTGCAAGGTTGCCTTCATCTCAACAAGTTTCCAGAAGCCATGAGAAATTTGATAAGCCTGCGATATTTCCAGTGTCACAAAGACATTCCTGCTAATATCGTTGGACAATTGACTTCTCTTCGAACTTTGCCTTCCTTCACAGTGCTAAGAAGGAAGGGACATGGTATAGAAGAGCTATGCCGTTTGAATAACCTTGCTGGAAGCCTCTTTATTTCACATCTAGAGAATGTTGGTAGCAAAGAGGATGCTGTCAAGGCAGACTTATCTAGAAAGAAAAATTTATACGAGATCGAATTTGAATGGAGTTGGGACCATGGAGGTGCCAACAGAAACGACAAGGATATATTGGAAGGCTTGCAACCCCCTGGAGATGTGAAAATATTGAGAATTAAAAGATTTTCTGGTTATAATTTTCCAGAATGGGTAATAAAGATGGCAATCAATATTGATGGGAAAGAGACCCCCCTTGACAAGCTTGTGAAGATCAGATTATATGGATGTAGCAGCTGCCTCTCTCTTCCGACGCTTGAGCACCTATCTCATCTTCTGGATCTTGAGTTGGAAGATATGGACAACTTGGCATGCTTAAGGAGTTCCGATGTTACTGGATCAACCAAGCCTTTGTCTCGATCATTGAGAAGGCTCCGAGTAGATCATATGGAAAGACTGGAAAAGTGGATAGATGGAGAACCCAACAGCTCTAATATGATATCGCCGGTCCTTCAGAAGTTGGAAATCAAGTATTGCCCAAAGATTATTGTCTTGGATGAATGCCAGCCCCATCCTCTTGTTTCCTTAGAGATTAGAGGCTGCAATGGTCTGGTGTCCATTAAGAGCATACAAGGCCTCACATCTCTCGATTTTTTAAAAATTGCCATGTGTCCTAGTCTTTCAGAAATAACCAATTTACCCAACGAGTGTCATTCTTTGAAGACTTTGGAAATTACCGACTGCGGCAAACTGACTTCCTTGCCTCATGAAATGTTTGACTGTTTTGCCTTCTTAGAAAGGTTGGAACTTGGTCGGTTCTCGAAGGAGCTGGATTCTTTCCCGAGTCTCCAAGGCATCGAGAAGTTAAGGAACCACCTTCACTCGTTGGTATTGTACGGTTGGTCTCATTGGAAGTCAATACCAGATGAAATACAACACCTCACCTCACTGACTCGGTTACAAATAGATGGATTCGGAATGCAAGAACTGCCTATGTGGTTAACCAACATGTCAAACGGGGAGCACCTCGTGATTCAAGGCTGTACATAAATTCAGAAGTTATTTGAGTGTGTTGGTGTATAGATATGTTGTATCATTTCTTTCTCCTCTTGTTCAATTATACACTCTCGTCTGACTTTCTCCCCATCCATCCAATTTTATGAGAAATCTCTGTTGTTCAACCTTTTAAGGAGACAATCAGACAAGTATAAATGTTGTATAAAAGTCCAAACTTTTAATGAATTTAATCATTGAACATTTTAAACAAAAGTTCACAACATTCTTCTCTCACTTATCACTTAAACCTACAACTTCTAATTTTTTTTAGTCGACCAACTTTGCAAGGTTCATTTCTGCTTAATTTTTCTTGTATAAGTCATTGGAATTTCTTGCATGACGGCTCTCATGCATTCTAACTGATTTGTACTACACCCGAAAAGGTACAAATTTATGGATTGCAAATCTCAATCTTCTATTTCTATCACCAATTAAGCTACTCATGATCCTTCCGCATGCTAAAAACCATAAACTATCAGTCTAATGTTCCTAAGGACTATTTTAGCATCATTAGCAACAGAGATACCACAATAATTATTTTCAGGGTGAATAACAAAATGATAGATTAAGTGAAATACCAAATACGACAAAATTGTGAACCAAAATCAGCATATAGTGTTGTGTTTAAGTCAAAAGATGAAGTAATAGCATAGACCTAAAAATTGACCTCACATACATGTACGTCTCTATTAACCCCCAACTTTCAAATCCTCCAACCTTTTGACAATCTCAGCAAAAATACAAATGTCTCTTCCCATCCAACAATAAAATTGTGGATTCCACATTGCAGGGCCTATCATTAACTTTTCACCAATCCAAAACTACAACAGAGGAGAAATTGTAGATTAATGTATATAAAAAGGATAAAAAAATAATAATAATAATAAATAAGTCATGCACAACAATCCACTGCTGATATGGTTTACAAAAAGCTTGCTAGCTAGTCAGGATATGCAGCCACCAAAAGATGGGATTTCTAAAAGACTTGATTTCATTCTATTAAGACAGGAGCAGCATCCATCTATCAGCATCGTAGAAAATTAAATAAATTTCCTTTTTATACATGCTGCAACATAAAGATAAAACCAGCAAAAAGGATAACACCAGCATCAAGCATCATAAATATTCTGTAGTCCAACACCATAAATTGAAACAGAAATCAATACAGAAAACCAAACTTACAGAATTATGACAGCAGAAAACTAACTTCTATGGCGTATTTACTAGGTATATAAATGAAACTTAACAAGTAAATTTTCTTTACAAACAAATGTCAACAGATTATGGATAAAGACACTCTTTTGTTTGAATGCAATAAACCATAGTAGAAAGCATTCATTATTTTAAAATACAACAGAAATCCAAAATACTACACAACTTGTTGCATAGCCTACAGTTTGGACAGCCACGTTTGGGGGTGTTTTGAAGTGAATGACTAACTTGAAAAATATTTTAGCACATTTCAAGGGCTGAATATGGGGCTGTTTATACAAGTAGTATGATTACAGTGGTCATTATTTCAGAAAAAAAATAAATAAATATATAAAAATAAAAACAGTAAACATATGTAACTGTGATTGAGTGGTTCTGTACCTTTATCCAATATACATCAAAGATAGCATTCTCATGAGCAAGCCAAGCCACTCACATAGCCTGGCTTTATCTGTGCTAAGAATATGATTGGTAATTAAATGGATATTAATCGTGCATTTTCTTCGTGTGTTGCTGCAGAATGAAGTTTCAAGCGATTATAGCACATATCCATCAATTTGGTTGATTAGATTCCTCGCCACAAATGAGAGGTTTAATTTTGGAAAGTTAAGGTTTCAAAGTCGATTCTTCTAAGAATCAAGATATATATATATATTATATATATATATATATATAATATATATATATATATATATATATATATTGTAGCACCTGGTTCCTGGTATGTATTTTATTTAAGTAACTTTGCATTTTTGACCTTGGACTCGGCGAGTTGAAGGACCAACTCGTCGAGTAGAAGCGTAATGAGACGCGGGATTTAAGTGATGGACTCGTCGAGTCGGATCCCGGACTCGACGAGTAGGCTCTGTCTGGACAAAACTCTAATCTGAGGGTTTGCACCCTATTTAAACAACATTATACAGCCTCCATCGCCCCTTTATGCTCCCAGAAACCCTCTATATCAAACCCTAAGTGTTTTGGTGCAAGATTCAAGGCTTTTGAGTGATTCTTGGTGGTTTTGTTCACAAGGAAGAAGGAAGAGCATAGAAGGATCAGGAGGAGGCTGAAGGATCCGAGTTTGGTTCATCATTTGCAGCCTTTGAAAGGTAAAAAGTCTGTACCTTGCTTTACACTTGATAGATCCCCTTTTGGGGAGATTTAGGGCTTTTATAAGCCATTTTGGTAACCAACCATGATTGCAAACATGGTTGGGGGTTGAGGCTTTGGAATCAGGTCTTTAAAGGGGTCACAAGGCAGATTTGGGTTGCTTTTGCACCCAAGGAAGGCCCCATGCAACACTAGAGCTTATTTTATGTCCTTTTGAGCTGAAAGTCCCATGCATGCACGTAAAGTTTGTAACTTTACGTGCTAGAACGATTAAAGGAGCTTAGATCTATCTTTTGGTCAAGTGTTGTACATCAGAAATCGAGGTTTTTGGGTGTGGGCGTTATCGACTCGGCGAGTCCGTTCTTGGGACTCGACGAGTCCAAGGCTTTGAGTCCCATTTCTGTTGAGAGTCAAAAGGACTCAGTTGGGCGTTAGAAGGGTTGTAACATGACAGAAAGAGTGACCTAACGCACTGGACTTAATTTTAGACCTGGAGTTCATGGGACTCGACGAGTGCTAGAACAGACTCGGCGAGTCCAAGGCAATCTCTTTATGTTTGAAGATGAACTCGACGAGTTGTTCATACAACTCGGCGAGTCAAGGTCAGGACGTGTTCATCAGTTGAATGTGAACTCGACAAGTGTTCATACGACTCGGCGAGTCGGTTGAAGGTTCATTGATGTTCGTAAGGAAGGGGGAACTCGTCGAGTCATTGCCAAACTCGACGAGTCGATTCGTGGATAAGGACGAGTAAAAGGAAGGGAATCGACGAGTTGACGGCCCAACTCGGCTAGTCGGGTCAACTGGAAGTTGAATTTGACTTGGACTTGGTTGGGGGTAAAATGGTCATTTTACCCTAAGAGTAGATATCAGTTTCTAACTGAGTGTTTGTGGGGATTTTAGCCGGAGGATTTCCGGAGCAGCAGCGGACGGAGGTTTCCCGCACAGATTATCAGCAGCTTCTTGTACGAGGTGAGTTACCTTCCAGTAGGGGTGGGTCTAAGGCCACAATGCCGGCCCACCAAAGAGGAGTATTTAGGAGATGATTGTCTTTGTGATAATTATCTTGGTTTGGTTACATGCTTTGGTCATGAGTTTTATTTGTATGATATGTTACATGTATGATAGTGATTGGTTTCCCTGGTAGCGGTCCTTAGGACCGAAGGGTAGGTCAGTACCCGGATATGCCTGACTGTATGTTTATATCTTGTTGCTGTATGCTAGTGGTGGGGGGGGGAATAGTCCCCAGTTACCGGTTGAAAGATACCGATGAGGATTACCGGTTGAAAGATACCGATGATGATTACCGGTTGAAAGATACCGATGAGGATTACCGGTTGAAAGATACCGACAATGATTACCGGTTGAAAGATACCGAGGATATTGTATGGTATGTGGTATGATGGGGGAACTCACTAAGCTTTGTGCTTACGGTTTCGGTTTTGGATTCAGGTACCTCTTCGTCTAAGGGGAAGGAGCTGGCGGCGTAGCATCGCATCACACACACACACACACGATTTCCGCATGGAGTTTCTGGGATTGTACTCTGATATGTTATTATTTTATGACTTGGATTTTTAGACATGGATCATTGTTTTATGGGATGATGTGTTTTCACGGTATTTTCTTGTGAATGTTTTTATGTTTCAATTAATTAAAAAGAAATTTTTGGACTCGAAAATTGGGACGTTACAAGTTGGTATCAGAGCCCTGGTTTGAGGGATTCAGACACACCCTCGGGGGTGTCTGGACTCAAACTGAGGGGCTAAAAGGTTTTTACAAGGAAAATGGTTTCCTAAATCTAAATGAAAGGATTTTAAGAAAGACCAAGTGTGTGATGCATGCGACCGGTCGTGCTCAAGTAAGTTTTCCCTAAGATACCCATACTTCATATGTTATGCTATATGGTTTTGATTCAGAAAACTGCATGCTAGAATAGGACTAAGGATCTAGGAGGATGCCTTGTGTGCCTGATATATGATTCTGAGAATTGCATGCTAGTTAGGGCTAAGGATTTAGGAGGATGCCTTATATGCCTGTTGTATGAGCTGTATGCTAGGACTGTTTAGTCAGCAGTAGGATGGCCTGTGTAGGTTATGCCTGATTTGGTTACCCAATGCACGAATGCTGCTTGCTTTGTGCTATGGGGGTTCTGGCCATCTTCAACTAGCTAAGGAACGGATATGTAACAGTATCCGCAAGTTAGTTAGGGGGAAGTGGTGGGGACTCCTAGTGCAGCTGATGGCGGAGGGTAGGTCGGAGAGTGCCCTAGGAAAGCCTAGGACGAGGTCAGTGAAAAGGGTATCGGGAAAAGGGACTTGGTGAAGTCGACGCAATCCTTGAGGAAAGTACGGGTAGATGTGGAAGGTAGTATGGGCCCGTACTACTGAAAGCAGAGGACCCATACTCGAATCAAGGAGGGCTTAGATGGAACCTGGAAACTTGGAAAGTGTGCGAGACCTCCGAAAGTATATGTGACCCTGACATTCGTATGTTTATTTTCAGAATGGTGGTCACGCGACATGGAGCAGGAGGTTCAGGATCTCGGTCAGGATCGGGCTCGGGCGCAGGATCCGAGCATGTGGATGATGGGTTACGCGAGTTCATCGTGTCCGAGATCATGAGGGGTATCCTTGATGCGACGCCGGTTATCTTCGGGTCGATCAAGGAAGGGA